TTCCTTTATTTGCTCTTTTATTTTGATCAACAAACTAACATTTTGACCATTGTTGTGAAAAATCCTTGATGTTCTCTTAGGCATTTATTTATGAACCTTTATATAGAAATGCATCTCCATTTCTCCGATAATCATCTAACTATGGTGTATCTTATAATGTATTTAACTGATGCTCCTTCATTGATTGGCTGCTGAGTTTTTGTGAGGTCTACATGGTACATACTTTTTTTTTTTGTTTTGTTTATTTTTCAATAATGGCTACATAGTACATACTCTTTTTTCTAATGTATTTTTCAATAACGGCCACATAGTCCATGCTTTTTCTCGCGTATTTTTCAATAACTGTAGGTTCACCCGAGAAAAATGTTGCATACAACTCGGTCAGATTTCACAAGCAGACAACAAATGGTTTATATATGGTCATAGATGCTCTACGTTCCTTTTTTAGATACACTAAAAGAAAATTCGCTGGTTTTAATAATTTAGACTATTTTAAATTACAAATAAAAATTTTAAATAAAAAGATTTTTAATATTATGAAATTTATTTTTTATTTAAAAATTAATATTTTATTAATTAAAATAATTCAAATTATAAAACAATTTTTAGTTAAAAGAAAACGTCACTAAATAAGCAAAAGAAAAACTACGCAGGAAAGAAACTCCTGCCGTGTCACGTCACCCATCCGGGTGGTGCTGAGTCCAACTAAAGGGAACATCAAAAATACTGGGTGCTCTATGTTTCTTATAATGTACGGGCATTACTAATATCTATTTCTGTCTTTTTGAATTTTGACTTTGAAAAGAAAACAAAAATGGCTAATTGTGCCATGGTGGAGGAGAAAATTTACCTTAAAAATGTGTTTGTTGTGCCCAACAATTAGGCATTCACATACGCTATCCATATTCTAATATATCAATAATGCTTGGATTTTTTGGGTAAAAATATACCAACGCTTGTTTAGCAGTTGGAAGTGATTCTGCGGGCTGGCCACCCGTTTGCTCCATTTAACATAACTTTTATGGTTAAAATCATTTTTACTGGACAAATTGAATACAACTTAGTCGGAAGTCAAAAGGAGAGTTTCAAATTTGTTTGGGAGTCAGCCTAACATTGATAAGAGGTCTAACAAAAGCCTAAAAATAGATAAACAATAAAAATACACTCACGTAATCTTAACAATGTTAAAATTCATGAAATTGTCTAAATAAAATTTACATTTTATATATATTTTTTCATACTTTAGATGGACATGTATCGTGAGTCTATTTGTGCGAAATTATTTTTTTTTCTCTAGTCAATTAAATCTGAAATACTTATTATATGTATGGAGGGGATGGAGAGAGGTGCTCACGATGTGATTGAATTTATGAACAGATCAAAAATTGTATAGACGGTTTCATAGATGAATTTATAGACCAGTAGATTTGTGGATATGTAGGCCAATCACGTCCCGTGGTCTTAGGTTTTGCCTTCGAGCTTGATTATTAATCTTCGTTCCTTAAATATGTAGTTGTTATTTAATTATACTGTACAAAAAATGGATTGTACATATGTAGGATAGGTCGAAGTGAACGTAGGGATAGATTTATAGACTTATCGACGTGAATGAATGGATACCGAAAATTTGTGTACAACTGTATTATAATCCGATTTTCATACTTAATGATTCATCATGTTTCGATCCCCCCACTAAAAAAATCCCTTCCCTCGGATTATAGGTTTTTTTTAAAAAAAAAGATAAATATGTTAAGTTTTAAATAATTTATTTTAATTTTTAAAATTGAAAAAAAAATATTAATTTTAATTTTTAAAATAAATTAAAATTTTAATTTTAAATTAAATTATTTTATTTAATTAAAATTTAATTTAAGTAAAAAAAATAAAGATTTACTCTAATTTTTTATTTTTAAAATTTTTTAATATAAGACAGATTCAAAACCCATCTAACTCAAAAAAAAATAAAAAAAACACTTTTTAATGATCAGTAACATTTGCCTCAAGGGTCAAGTGCAAAGGTTTATTCTAATAATTACAAAAGGTAGGGAAGTAAATATATTATTTTCCCTCTAAGGAACGTACAAGTGTAAGAAGCCACGTAAAAGCGCATTTTGAAACTTTAATTTTCAATCCCACATGGGAATGTTGTTTTATTTTATTTTATTTTATTTTTTAAAAATATATAATTTTTTAAATTAGTTACGCAACTACTTAGAACAATATTTTTTATTTCTTATATCACTTCTCACATGATTAAATAAAATAAAACCTGATTTCTCGTTTTAACTCAACCATGGTTAAATCCGGTGTTAGGTGGGTTTGGTAGGCGTTGGTTACCTTAGTTGCTGCCTAGTGCCTTATAACTGGGCTTTTCTTCTTTCTTCTCTTTCTCAGGGAAGTCTCTCACATTTGCCAACCACCACCGGCTTTTTACTTGCACAGAGAGATCTTCTCCGCTTCTTCACTCTCTGCTTCCCGTTACCAGTTCCGGCCACTCCAATTCCGGCCGGTTCCGTTCTTCTTCCATAGCTACGTTTCTGCTAATTTGCAATGGAACCGTCGCCTTCGGCAGGTTCTATGAAAATTTCGCCACTCGATCTGATGTCGGCGATAATCAAGGGAAGAATGGACTCGTCCAACGTGTCTTTCGAATCCCCGGCTGAGGTCGCCACGATCCTGCTCGAGAACAGAGAGTTCATCATGATATTGACCACCTCCATCGCGGTTCTCATCGGTTGTGTTGTCGTATTGGTGTGGCGCAGATCCGGCGGGCAGAAATCCAAGCATGTGGAGCCTCCTGAACAGAAAGTCGTCGAGAAGCCAGTAGTCGAAGACGATGACGGTAAGAAGAAGGTGACCATCTTTTTCGGCACCCAAACTGGTACCGCTGAAGGTTTTGCTAAGGTTAGTTAGCACAATAGCATTTACACTTTGTTACTTATTCCGATGCACATTTATCTATATGTATACATTTTCAGCTGATTAATATGCTTAATTTTGTTTGCTGTGAATTGAACCACAGGCGCTAGCTGAGGAGGCAAAAGCACGGTATGAAAAGGCGACGTTTAAAGTTGTTGATTTGGTACGTATGGCTTTTCAAACTCCATTTCTGTTTTGTTGTTGGGTCTGTGGAATGGATTTTATGGTTAAAATCATGATTGAATGATTGGTGTTCGGGAATAATCAGGATGATTATGCTTCCGAAGATGATGAATACGAGGAGAAGTTGAAGAATGAGACTCTCGCTTTCTTCTTTTTGGCTACGTGAGTTTTAAATTTTTAATTTGCATTCTGTATGGTTTTGAAATCGGTTTTCCTTTGTTATTCTATTGGTGATTGGTTAAATGATATGATATATCCAGATATGGAGATGGAGAGCCAACTGATAATGCTGCTAGGTTCTATAAATGGTTCACAGAGGTAAATTCTTATTAGTTTTGTTTACATACCCTAGTATGATTTTCTCTGGTTGTGTTTGGCAATATATATGGGCTGTTTTTTAAAAATAATCAATCCTCTCTGCAGGGAAAAGAGAGAGGAGAATGGCTTCAGAACATGCAATATGGAGTGTTTGGCCTAGGGAACAGACAGTATGAGCATTTTAATAAGGTTGCAAAGGTGGTGGATGATCTCCTTGCAGAGCAGGGTATGCTTCTATTTTTTTTCCATCAGTCTAGTTGATTTATATTAATGGCTTCCGGATTTTAAAATGTTTTACTTGCATACAATCTTGTAACTTCATGAATTAGATGCTGAGTTCCTATGATGAAAGTTGGTCTTTTGGGTCTTGGGCAACCAAAATGCTACATTTACTGCTGCTTTTTACTTGGATAATGACAATGCTGACTATAGTCCTTTTGTTTACTTGTCTAATATCATTACCTTACTGATTAGCATGGTAGCAGCAGTTTAAGTATCACTAATGTTTTGGCTTTCGGGAGAAATGTATCATGTGCATGTGTCAGTTGACATACTGTCAGAAGAGAACTTCTGGAAGGTCATTTAAAAACATATACTTGCAAATGAAAAAGTTATAAGTTCCAAGTATAATCTATATAACTAGTATTCATTGTTCGCACACTTGCAGACCATTGCAGTAAAAAACTTGCAATGCCTTTTGATGCAGAATCGACCTGGGCATTGTTTTGGTTTCTTTAATGTCCTATTTTTGAAAATAGTGAACACCGTTGTAACAAATGCCATTATAATTTTAAGCAGTAATAAAGTAATTGCAGAGTTGGGCAAAAATTTTAAATTGCAAATATGCAAATTATTCAAATAGAGATATATTGACAGATAAAAAATGATTGGGAGGCAATGTTACCGGTGAATGTGATTTAAAAGTTGAATTTGTTTAAGTAAAAATCAGTTTCCATCTTATGTCTTTTGCAGGTGCAAAGCGTCTTGGTCCTGTGGGTCTTGGAGATGATGACCAATGCATCGAAGACGACTTCAGTGCATGGTATGAAGACTTTAAAATGGCTTCACTTAAAAGCTTGATAATTCTTCTACCTCTGTCATTTATTCATTCAACATTTTTTGTCCTGTTGCTATTTTAGGCGAGAATTGGTATGGCCTGAGTTAGATCAGCTTCTACTGGATGAAGATGATGCACAAACTGTTTCTACTCCTTACACTGCAGCTGTTTTGGAATACCGTGTTGTATTTTATGACCCTGCAGATGCACCAATTAAGGACAATAACTGGAGTAATGCAAATGGTCATGCAGTTTATGATGCTCAACATCCATGCAGGTATACTAAAATAAGTGTTTTCTGGATTTTGAGGTTGCAGTTCTGTAATATTTCTTCTAGCAAGATTCTAAATTTTATTTTTCACCTTAAGGTCAAATATTGCTGTGAGGAAGGAGCTTCATACTCCTGCATCTGATCGTTCTTGCACCCATCTTGAATTTGATATTGCTGGCACAGGGCTTTTGTAAGTAGCCTTCTGAGGCATTTACTGTCATAAACTGGTTTACTTTTAGGAAAGAACATGCTAGTTGTAGTATTGGAAAGAAAAGTTGCCAGTTATGACTTTGCTTAAAGTCGTCACGTGGAGTTTCCTGTACTCATGGTTCTTTTCTTTCTCAGATATGAAACAGGGGATCATGTTGCTGTTTACTGTGAGAATTTAGTTGAGACTGTTGAAGAAGCTGTAAGGTTATTAGGTTTATCACCTGACACCTATTTCTCCATTCATGCTGATAAAGAGGATGGAACGCCACTTAGTGGAAGTTCCTTGCCTCCTCCTTTCCCACCCTGCACTTTAAGAATAGCACTGACGAGATATGCTGATCTTTTGAGTTCTCCAAAAAAGGTTAGACTATCCTTGGAGTCTTTTGCATTATGACATCCTTTTCTTTTGTGTTGAATTAACTAATGCTTCATTTGATAATTATTCTAGTCTGCTTTGCTTGCATTGGCTGCTTATGCTTCTGATCCAAATGAAGCTGATCGATTAAGGCACCTTGCCTCTCCTGCTGGAAAGGTTTTGAAGCTTTTTTAATTCCCTGGAAATTTTGTGGTCCCTTTCTAATGACACTTATTCATGCAAGTTGTAACATCTGCTGTGCTCTTGTTCAGGATGAATACGCACAATGGGTAGTTGCAAGTCAGAGAAGCCTCCTTGAGGTCATGGCTGAATTCCTGTCAGCCAAGCCCCCACTTGGTGTCTTCTTTGCATCAGTTGCACAGAGGTTGCAGCCTAGATACTATTCCATCTCATCTTCCCCAAGGTAACTATTTTATTCTCCTCATCAGCCTCCTTTTCAATGTTTGCCTTTCTACTTTTTATTTTTTATTTTTTATCAGCTGTTTTCTATGTTTGTTAATGGAAGGAAGAATAATGTTCATTGAGGTTCTGGTACACTTTTCAGCATGCCAGGATTATCTTCTCACTTTTAGCTTATTAAATTGCCCTGGAGGAGAAGTGGATGTGGAATATAAGGGAAGATAATTGGTTGCAATATTGAACTTTTTATTAGGACATCCTTTGTTTTGAATTTTCATACTTGTAATATGTTTTGAAGCCTTGAATGTATAGGCACATGTTTTTCACCATCTATAATTATGTTCTGCAGGATGGCACCAACTAGGATTCATGTCACTTGTGCACTTGTTTATGAGACAACACCAACAGGTCGGATTCACAAGGGAGTGTGTTCAACTTGGATGAAGGTAATTACATAAATTTCTTGTGCTTTTTTGTTTCCCTTTGTAAATTGGTAACTATTGAAGAGCTAGATAAATTCTATGCTAATGCCAATAGTTTAGTAGTACAGAGCCTGGTCAGTATTCTTGTCTTAAAATCTTTGATACCACTAACTGAAATTTTCCAGATTTTGTGCAAAATGATTACCCATTACAACTCTAGCTGATTATTTTGAGGTGGATAATCTTAATTGAAGTAAATTCTCTAAGTTGGTCTCTCAATAGCATTATGTATAACTTATTAACGATATACCTTTTTCTTTTCCAGAATGCTGTGCCCTTGGAGAAAACCCAAGATTGCAGTTGGGCACCTATTTTTGTCAGGCAATCCAATTTTAAACTTCCCGCAGAGACTAAAGTTCCCATTATCATGATTGGCCCTGGCACTGGATTGGCTCCTTTCAGGGGTTTCCTTCAGGTAAGTTTGTTGCATTATCAGCATTCATTTCATAGCTTGGAAGTTTAAGCTGATTATTTATATTTTTCTTTTCAGGAAAGATTAGCCCTGAAAGAAGCTGGAGCAGAACTGGGACCTTCCATATTATTCTTTGGATGCAGGAATCGGAGAATGGTAAGTCCTATGTGCTTTCTGGGTGTGTATATTCAGCTGGGTTGGTAGCTGCTGTAGCTGGGATTTGAAGGTAATCAAGTGCAGAAATTTGATTTGATACTCTTTTGCAGGATTATATTTACGAAGATGAGCTTAATAACTTTCTTGACAGTGGTGCACTTTCTGAGCTGGTGGTTGCCTTCTCACGTGAAGGACCCACCAAGGAATATGTGCAACATAAAATGATGGAAAAGGTGAATATACCCTGTTTCACCGATCATGATTTGAATGAAACTATCCTTTTTTTTCTTTTTTTAATGTTATGAAGGAAACTATCTTAATTTCTCAATCAGTGTACTAATTTGAAGCTTTTGAAATGCAATACCTTCTATCCAGGCATCCAACATTTGGAACATGATTTCTCAAGGAGGTTACATATATGTATGTGGTGATGCCAAGGGCATGGCTAGAGATGTCCACCGAAGTCTCCACACTATTGTGCAAGATCAGGTATGATTGTGGAGATAAATTCTTAAGCTATGTGATTACTGCTTGGGGTCTATGATGACGGTTGCTTGCCACCAACCACACGACTTATGGGCAACGTGATTTAAAAGTTGTCGTCTCCATTTGCAATTATGCATCTTCTTAAGGCTTCCCCGTTTTTTTTTTAGCCACAGTTATTTCTTATGGTTTTGGCTTTATTGATTTAAAACTTCAATAATCCGGTTGCCTAACTTGTTGATTACAGGGATCGCTAGACAGTTCAAAAGCAGAAAGCATGGTTAAGAATCTGCAAATGACAGGCAGGTATCTACGTGACGTATGGTGAAGTTTCCTCTGCATAAGTTTTTAATTTGGGAGGGAAATAAAAAAACAATAAAAAGGATATTGCGTCAAGAAATATTTATATTTATGGCAGCCAACTTAATTTGACACAAGAAACTCATAAGAAGGTTACTTGTGATGTCGAGGTTGCTACCCTTCAAAGAGAAAATCTAAATTGTTGTGATTATAGAACTCAATTCGGTAATCCCTTGTTTTTTTTTCTTTTAACTATTCTACTTGATGGATTTTTTCTGAAGTGTAATATATATAGTATATAGAATAATTATGTTAGGGCTAGTGAAATGAATTTTCCATGTATGAACCACCAAGAAGGTTCAAATGACGAGACAAGCAGCAATGTAATCACATATTGGATGGACAATATTAGTTTGGTCTTTGTTTATGGAAGTGACTATTGAATTGTTCGTTTGAGTTTTATGTTGTATAGACTTGCCAAATAAGGCACGACATGCCTTGCCGGTAAGTATTATGGATTTGAATTAGAGAAAATCAGCGACCAAAAGGACAAAAAAAAAAAAAGGAAAAGAAAAGTAAAGGGAGAACTACTCCAAATGAGACTGCTAAACAATAGTAATAGATTAATTAATAATTTTAGTTTATAATAAAAGAAGGGATTTGTAATGAATTTCACATAAATTTTTATATAAAATTTAAATAAAATAAAATATAAGATATCATTTTATTTCAAAATCTATAAAAGAAATTATAAATCTATTTGAAAATTTATATAAAATTAATTAAAAATATCTTAATTAATAAGTCTTAACTTGTGTTTTTAAGATATAAATTAGATAAATTCATAAAAAAATAAATAATTAAAATTTTATACAAGTAACATATGTAGATTAGTATTAACTCAATTTAACAAATTGTATTAAAAATAACGAAAATAGATTTTAATGTTTTTTTCATTGAATAACTCGTGGTTCACGTGTATCCTTGGGAGAGAAAGGATTGTGTGTGAATAATTTTTTCATCGAATAACTCGTTGTTCACGTGAATCCTTGCGAAAGAAGGGGTTGAAAAGTGAAACTTGGAAGCAATGACAAAATTGAAAGCTTGTGTTTGAAAGTGAAAGTTGGAAGCAATAATAAATTGAAAACTTGTGTTTTGAATGTGAAAGTTGGAAGCAATAATAATAAATAGAAAGCTTGTCCCACCAACCTGCTTCGGTTTGAGAATATGGTTCAGTATTAT